GTCGAGCCAAATCGAGCCGAATCAATATTTGCGAGCCGAGCTCGAGCCCGGATTTTTTAAGCTCGTTCGAGCCGAGCTCGAGCTCGAGCCAATACAATATAATTCGAGCTCGAGCTCGAGCCTACATAAACTCGGGCTCGGCTCGGCTCGTTTGCACCCCTAGTTAAGAGTGGAAAAATCAAGTTTGTGTACTTGTGTTACTACTTGCTTGTCTCTGTGTTGAAAAAATTGATCAATGAGCATCTTTATCTTGATTATGCATTTTGTCTAATGACATTCACTATTCCTTGTATATACTCATTCATTCTTGACTCAATTGATTGGTGCCTTGGGAACTCATTGAACTTGTGTTTCGAGTTTTAGTTTACTTGAGGACAAGCAAAGGCTCAAGTGTGGGAGAGTTTATAGATGTAAAATTTGGCTTTGTTTGTCAATTTCTGATGATTTTCTTCCCATTTTGGTTTTACTTGAACAATATTTTGGTGGTAGAAACCATAGAGAGGATTTGAGAATTGTAGGGGTGAAAACTGAGCATTTTGAAGATTCTCGAAAGCATAACTAGAAAATTTGAAGACCCCGGGGACCAAGCGGTCACGTCCCAGACCGCATCTAGGCATGTGTACAATCGCCGCACAGTCAAGTGACGTCACCCGCAGGTCAACCTCACTTAAGTGTGCAAGGCGTCCATGAACATAGTTCAGACCATACTCAGTAAGTAAACATACATAACAACATCACACTTTAGATTGAATGAATAGCGGAAATATTCAATAGTCAATCGTGGACCACATATGGCAAGACGTGGGCTCGCAGGCCCAAAACAAAGTATTCATTACAAAATATCCATGAGCATATATAGTTTATAGTTTTAAAACAATAAAGGAAGCACGAACCACATCTTCCTCGATATCACTTCACTCGTGCAAAGATGCAAGTAGCAAGCTATAGCTTCAACCTGAAAATGGGAGGACCCCCAGAGGGGTCAGTACAACTTGTACCAGCAAGAAGCAGACTAAATGTAGAATAATTAACGTTTCAAGTATAAGACCAAAACATAGGGCGATACATACACTTATACTTTTCCCCCAAGTCTTGAAATACATAGGAGTATATACATTTGGAAAATACCTGACCCGTAGGTCATTGTTTATTTGGGAAATCGTAACAGTCTTGACTTATAAAATCCAAACCCACTCAATATACACATGAGTGTATAGAACTCCTATTTGTTCAATCAAGTACCTTAAGGACACTGCCCGGTCCTAGATTACTAAACCGTAGTCTATGAGTTTTGAGGATAATCCAGTCCCTGGGTACTCCACCAATTACAATTCCTAGTTTTGAGGACAGTCCAGTCCATGGGTACTCCACCAACTATATTCCGAGTTTTGAGGACATTTCAGTCCTTGGGTACTCCACCTGTTATATACCGAGATTTGAGGATAGTCCAGTCCTTGGGTACTCCATCATTTCCTATGATCTACCACATATCATACTTAGATAAGGTGTATATCATATCATTACTAACGACTAATCCAAGCCTTAGCATTTAAACATCATATTCCATGTAATTCCATGCAAAATATACACATATAGGATGGTCGGGGATGGTTCAACCTTGAACCGGGCCCTGAAACGAATTTTATCAAAAAAAATGGCCCCGAAACGTGAGACCGAACCGGCCATAACAGTGACCAAACCGGCACCAGTTCAGGCCCCCTGGTCGGCGCCGGTCCACCTTCTGTCCGGGGTCAATGACCCGTTGACCCCCCGAACGGACTCCGATTGCTCCGAAACTTATACATGACATGTAATAAGTCTTAAACAATCAATAAATACCATTTTGGCCATTTAAAACATCACACATCTTTTTATATGCATTTTCGTTCAATTACATGCATAATATACCATTTTAATTCATATAAGTCTAATCACCTTGGCAAATCACATGCTTAAACTCTTTAAAACATCATTATGAATACACATAACATTTCTTTAGGTAATCTCATACTTAACCCAAGAGTTATAAGACATTAATTCGTCCACTCACCTCGGTTGAACTCCAGCAAAACCCCGGCGAAACCCCGGCGAGGTTTGAAGAGCTCCGGCGACTATCTCAACTCTGTGAGAGCACTAGGAACACCTTAGACAAGTTCCTAACAAGGTTTTAACATCCCAAAACCTATATTAATACAAATAACCTCTAAAAGGTTATTTCCCGGCGAACCGGTCACTTTGTTTTCTAAGTCCGTTCTTGGACTTAGAGCCACCTTCCAACCCCTCATTCTACACTTGTAAACATGTAGAACAATCCTAGGGGTCCTTCATATGATATATAAGTCATATAATATTTCATAAGAAGAGGAAATGTTCGTATGGGATCCTTATCTTGATTTCTCAAGCTTTCCTATCTTTTTCCTACTCTTTGTTTCCTTTTGGACTTCCCTTTGCTTGAGCTCGAGTTTTGGGCTATGGAGGGTGAGTTTGCAGAGCTTCTTCTCTCAATAAAGATGGATTTGACGAGCTGGGGTAGGGATGGAGTGAAGACTCCCATTTGTCTCTTTAGCACAATAAAAGAGGAGAGGAGGTCCACCACAAGTCCTGTCACCAAACCTCTCAATCTTCAACCTTTACTTTACCTCATAGCATTATTTTGTTGTCTCAATTGATTTTTAGACCATAATTTCGTGGGGTGGCCCCCACTCATGTGGGAGGTCATCTCTGTGTGCCCCGAAGTGTACATTCGAACCCGAAAGTTGTATTTTTTGGACTGTTTTAATTATATTTTATTTTATCGGGCCAAATAAAATATATATCATACTCCCAATCACTATGGGCCTTTATAATGAATATACATTTCCCAACTTTAATTTAGAAGTCACGGTAATCTATTACATGTTGTTATCTGACGAAATACCGATACTCGTATATATGGGTCTCACTTAACCAACCGGTCAGCTCTATGCCTTTCCCATGGCCCAATATGAATATCCACCATCGTATACATATCACTTAAACCAAGATGAATATAATATGTGGTCCCGGAAATATCGGGTGGTCGCCGCTCTTGATGTGGGCCCCACGTGCATTTTACTATTCACACAAAAGTAATAACAAAAATTTACAACCTCGTAAATTCATTTACCGTTTCTCAAGGTTCAATACTTAATTTACCCAAGAGTAAATATACTCGGGGACAGTGTTACACAAGCGGAGAACAAAGAAGCGAGAAATGAAGACGTCGAATGTGTTTTTGTGGAAGCAGCCATAGGAATGCCATAGGGAACGACGTTCTCCCGACGTTTCTCCGTTTTGTTGCATCAGATTTCCATTTCAAAGTCTGAAGTGTAAGAACGCCAACAAGGAACATTGTTCCTGCCAGTGTTCCTACAAGAATGGCATCCCCGCTCTCGTTCCTCCCATCGTCGAACCTCTGCCAGCAGCAAGTTTTTTATGTAAAGGTTGGAACGTCGTTTCCCCCAACATTCCCTCCGGCATTCCTCATCAAGGGAAGTCGTTCCCTCTCGGCAATCCCCTGTTTCCCCCTTTGTATAAATAGCACCCTTTGTTCGGATTTCATAGTTTTTGGATGATATTTCTTTTGCAATCCTAGGTTTGGTCGTAAGGTTCCTTAAACTCTTGTGTATTAAATTCCTAAGCTTTATTTACTTCAAATATTTTTTTTCTTGCATTTCATACCTTAGATTACATTATTTCCCTAAATCTACTTCCCTTATCTTATTTCTTCACTTCATGATCAATTTGTGTTGCATATGCTTTATGAATATTAAAACTACCATGAGTGAGTAGTAGGATTAGAGATTAAGGGTGTTTGAGGATCATCCATCATGTGAGGTTATAGGTTTTGAAGTTTGATTTGGGGAAACTTGAAAAAATATATTATGCACACAATGTGTTTGTGAAAATGCTTCTTAGATGTTGTTTTGGTCCCTCAGAGACTTGTAGGGTTCCTTTTGACACATCCACACACATTACCTCCTCTCCATGAGAATGAGAGAAGGTAGGGGAAACATTGTTGATTGCTCTTCTTTACATGACTTTGGATTACTATTGGACCATGAGAATGGCCAACAAGAGTTCTTAGTACTCCTTTTTTGCATGATATGTTTTCATCTATCCCCATTTTGACCCTTTGCCCTCAATCATAGGTTGTTCCTTGTATGCACTCACTTCCCTTCTAGTTTAATCGTTTTATTGACATTTAGTTGTTTTCGTTACTCAAACATACGTCGATTTGGCTAACATAAATGTTAGATTTCTAGATTGATTTCACACTTGGTTTTCCATATACACCGTCCCGTGAGACAATATCCGAGACTTCCACATCCTTACACCCGATGAGCATCATTGTGAAAATGACTCGTCAGGACTTCAGAGGAAACCACATGTGAGTGTACGGCAAAAGCACATTTGTTATTGAGAAATCTAGGGGACATGGTTTGTGTCGAGTAGAAGATGCTCCCTAGATTTTGTTTCCTAACTTTGTGCCCCTCCCAATTCCCAAATGGGTACATGAAACCAATTCCCTCTTTCTATTAAGTTTATTCCCACTACTTGAATTTATAACCAAGCACACCCTTCCATAGGTGCGTTGAATTGAACTGACAGAGTTGGCCAACTTCATGGTGCAATTGTGGACTTGTTGAAAACTTGAAATTAATGGAAAATAACTCCTTACTTCTTAACATGTCTGCCAATTAACAGAGATGAATCTTCATTAGGACCCTCACATAAAGTTAACAATGTCTACAACCAACCAAACAATAACATAGTCCATAATTTCTTTTCACTGCTGCTATCAACCAAATACAACAAGCATTGAAATCGATTTGTACCCCGGTTTCTGTTTGACAGCATTATAAATAAACATTGTAGTATTTCTGCTTAACTTATTTGAATGCAAGTAGCAGCAGAATAGAGCAATAGACATTATAGACCAATAGTATTAGTTTTAAAGGTATGCAAAAGTTATTTGAACTGTTTTTTTTTTTAATTTCCTCTCACAAATTATAAATATCATTCAACCATATATCGGTCATTTCAATTGCAAGTTCAGAAACTTCAGTCAAGATAAGCCACTTCAGCCAAATAATATTTCTACCGAACGGCTCAAGTATTTATATTTACAGGTTTGGTAGAGTAGGAGTGTATATACACGACCTAACACAAACAAGCGCATGTTGCATACTTGCATGTACAGAAATGCAAATTTTGAATCTCTTGTAACAAAATAAGGCTTAGATCTTCATTGTCAACATAGAATTACCACGAAAGGTAGAGAGCTGCAAAGAGATCAAGCAGATCCAGGAGAAAGGAGGCCTGACCTGCCAACACTGACATTCTTAAGTTTCTTTGAATCTCTGATAAAATCTTCAGCTTGGGAATCTCTTTGCTTGAATGAAGATTCACTACCACTCTCTATTGGGATTGAACAAAATGGAGTGGGCACAGATGCAGTGGGGATACTTTGGTTGTGTGATGTCACTTTAGAGATATTTCCTGAAACCATGATACCAATGCTAAGAAACGGTTCCAGCATGCATACTACGTTGAAATGAAGATAGTTAAGCAATGGTTTGTTTTTCAGTTTCCAATTTTAACACCACTGAAACAAATGCTCATAATTCATATCCGTTAAACAAAAAATTTAAAACAATTAAAGGAATAGAAAGAAGTACAATATACACATCATACCACACAATGCAGATTCTTGAAATTTCTCCCTCATAATTCTGACAAATTTGTATAGGCCGTTGCTTTGGTTTAGCTCAATGAGCAGTTCCTTTGTGTCATTTAGGCTTGGATTACAATCAAGCACTAGAATCCATGAAAATTAAAATCATTCCAGCATCAGTTTTTGAGTATTATGTGAATAAAATTATTTTACAAGTAGGTATGGCAATGGGGCGGGGGTTTAATTTCCCCATCCCAGCCCCATGTCTCCAAAGTTCCCCCGCCCCCACACAACAACACTTGCGAGCTCATTGGGTGGTGAAGAAATAATTTGAGGAAATAAAATGAACACGATATTTTTTAACAGATACTAGATACTTCATCCGTTCTTTATTAGTTCCAATAGTTTGAATTTTGCATTTTCACATACTCTATTTTGATCACATTTTATTTATTACTGTATTAACATAATTCATGTGTAAAATGCTACTACCTCCGTCCCACTAAGATTGGGACAATTCGGTTTACAATGTTTGACCGAAGATAAAGCAAACAGATTCATGTCTGCTCTCAAATTATTTTTAGAAAAAAAAAATTACATATTCAGAAATTACATTAAAAGCTTTACGAAGTCGCAAATACCTGAATCAAATTTGATAAAAAATTGATATATAAAGTAAGAGATTAAGAGTGATTTGTGTTGACCAAGTGAATAGTGTCTGGGACAATCTTAGCGGGACGGAGGGAGTACTAAAATTGTCCCAGTGTAAAATTTTAAAATTTCAATGCTTAAAACTTTAATAGATAACTAAATATACTAGTGGCCAAAAGAAGTTACACTTGTTTTATTGGTTACAAGCAGTGTTCTAAAAGGCGGCCAAAGGCGACGGAAAGGCATGTACCTAATAGGTGTGGGAAAAGGCGCATTGGATAGGCTTAACCTCCAATTTTGACCCACCTATTGACTTTGAGAACTATTAAGGTGTTTCCGTGGGGTTGTGAAGAAAGAGCGATAATTTATAGAGTTCATTGAAGTGAAATGCTACTCTTCCTCCGGTGTGGGAAAGATGATTGGGAAGGGAAGAAACAAAATTCAAACGAAAAACAAGCGGTAGGGGTTTTTGAACCCGAGTGGAATTCGGAAACGGTAGGACTCAACCCAACTGAGCATTAAACTTAACTGTGCAAGTCTTGAATGTTATGTTTAATAGTTTTTTAAACGCGCGTTGCCCGATAGAGCAAGTGCCCAATGTTTTTTTTTTTGCTAGGAAGTATATGTATAATGAGTAGATTCAGTTATTGTTAGTATTTGACATGTTACCATTTATAGCTACAAAGAAATACATTGTTGAGCATTCTTCCATCGTGAAAAACTTGAGGAACCAAACTACGTAGTATAATATACCGAGTTAAGTAACATAAACATCCATACACCCGAACTATAACATACCAAGTCATTGAGTCAAGTAACATATAAAAGGATTAAAGAATGAAGAGCATGCATAAGCATGGATAGTTTGAAACTGTTAAATGTCTCAGCTCGCAGCAGAAAAATGCTTCACTTGGTTTCAAATTGTGTCTTGGAGATTGGAGTAGAACAATAGGGGATCAGATAGAGGCATAAAGCATGCAGTAAGACAGAAAGAAGCACATGGAAGAGAAAGAGATCAAGAGAATAAAGGACAATGAAATACAAGAAAGAAGTTTAGAAGAAGGAATTTATTTTACGTGAAACGCTTGAAGCATGCTAGAGAAGAAGATGAGCAGATTATAAATAACTAAATAAGTCAATGTATTCCCATAACAGCAAGTATATTACCTTTAAGTCAAGCATTCATATAATTGCGACACAACTATTAGGTTCATTAAAAAAAACGTAGGTTGCATTTAAAATCCACTTCATTAGTTTTAGTTTCAAATTCAAAATAATCTCAAGTGTTTTGCATAGCACCTCCCTCACTTAGACATAAATCTCTTCCTTCTAGCTTTTGTACTGTATAAAAAGTTTCTAAAAGCTTCTAGTTGTGTGTTTGACATGACAATATTTAAGAACTTTTCAAAAAGTAAAAGATCTTTTTTGAGATGTTACCGAGAATAGCATCTAAGAAAAGCTCATGACTTTTAGTATTAATTAGTCCTAACAGCTTGTATACCAAACCGAACTAAATCAATCATTTAGCTTTTTACCAAACAGCTACCATCTTTTCTTTTTAAGATCTTTTCAGTCACTAAAAGCTAATAGCTATTAAAAAGCTCACAAAAGTATCTTTTCAGCTAGTTGTGTCAAACATGCCCTATATTGGTCTTGCCACTTACACATGTTCTTTTCGTTCCCTCCGTTCCCGGACTGATTACAACTTACCAGTTATAACCAATCCAAAAATAAAATCACTTTCCATAAAAAACAATTTATAATCTAGCAAACATTAAAAAAAAATTACTAAAACCCCAAGTTACATATCTACTAAGGAGAAACAATGTCTCAAAGTAACTAATAATAAGAGATTAGTCACCTGTCTCTGACTTTTTGTCCCATTATAGGTTCAAGAAGAAAGGTTGGGTCTATATAAAAAATAATTTTGTACACCCTCTCAAGTGAGGGTGAATCACCCCTCTTTATTAATTAGGTTGCAACATGAAAATTCGTTTTATTTTTGCAATTATTATTTATTATAACTTTTTCATTTATGATCCAATTTTTTTAATAAGATATATCTAATATTTTTTATTTGTTATGATATTTCATATGGTACCACTATTGCATATTTAAAAAGTTCGGATAGAAATAGATATTTAGAAAAATAGATTTTGTATATGCAAAATTGGTACCATTGAAAAGATGTAGGAAAAAATTAATTAGATATATTATTTTTTATATAAAAATTGGATCATAAATAAAAAGTTAAAACAAATTGAAATAGAAAGAACTAAATAAGATTGCAATGCCGGCAACCAAAGAAAGAGGAGTGACTGGACAAAATTGCACTCGTCTCAATAGTCCTAGCACAAGGCTCAATTTGATAATTGATGTGGTGAGAACAGTATTCAAAAACTCATTGAGGGATAGGATTCAATGTTTTCATCGGAGAAAAAACTAAAAAGAACTAAAATTCACCCAGTGATAGCATGCAAACTGTTTACCTTAAAAATTAATACTTAAACAAAAATTAATACTCAGAAAAATACCACCCGCTCTACATCAAACCTACTTGTGAAATCTTCTTTGAAAGGGCTAGTTTTAGTAGTTACCAAATGCCCATCTTGCATCTAAAATGTACGGAGTATTGTATTAGGTGGCAGAGTGGGAAATAAAGGAAGAAGGTGATTGAAACTTTGGATGGGGAGACATTGCGGATGAGGGGAGATTAACGAAGGCAGTGTCCGTCAAGGGTAAATTTTGTTGAGGGAATAAAATGTACAATCACTCCAATGTATGGTACAAGCTCTTATTATTGTGAGTTACACCAACACATTTTTTGCACCTAAATTACCCTAACCTTCATTGGTGTTTATAATATTTTAGATACTTCTATTATTATAGGTCTGTACTAAATATGTCAAACCAAAACTCCGTATTAGTACTGTATATTAATGTATTATTATTATTATTAATTAATACTACCGAGTATTATTTTTGTAATTATTGTAGTTATTATATTATTATATTATTATTGTATTTTATTGTTATCTTTATCAACATCCTCATCAGTGCCATTTCATTAGGGGGTTTTCCTAAAATACTAGTCCGTACTATGATAAAAATTTATGAATAAAAAATGTGACTAAATTAAAGTGACTTTAAATTTACAGTAAAGTTTGAAGGATAAATTTTATAGGACCGCAATTAGGCCTGCATTACTGTATGGTGCAGAGTGTTGCGCGGTGAAACAATGTTACATTCAAAAGATGAGTGTGGCAGAGATAGAGATGTGCATGCTGCGTTGGATGTGTGTACATACTAAAAAGGATCGCGTGATGAATGAGTCAATCAGACAAAATGTGGGAGTAGCACCTATCGAAGATAAGATACGAGAGTCTCGCCTGCAGTGGTTTGGTCATGTGCGTAGACGGCCGAGTGATGCGCCTGTCAAACGAGTTGAGATGTGTGGAGAAGAGACGGGGAAGAGAGGGAGAGGAAAGCCCAAATAGACGTGGATTAGAGAAGTTAGAAGTGACATGTTTCTTCTTAGGTTGAATGAGGGCATGGCTTTGGAGAGAGCAAAGTGGAGGGCGAGCATTCGTGTGGTGGAGTGATCTCTTATCATCTTTTCCCCCTCATCTCTTTTTTCTTATTTTTTCATATCCTTTTTATCTATATATAAATACTCTTTTTATGTATATCCATCTCTCATCCTTCTATCTTTTTAATGTATATCCATCTCTTTTATATTATCTTTTTATCTTTATTTTCTTTCTTTTCCTTTTGGTGGTGATATCATGTATTGATTCATGTTAGCCGACTCCAAAATCTTTTTGGAATAAGGATGTTTTTACTTGGACTGCAATCTGTCCTGAACCAGACCAGACTTGGATAGTTATTAAAATAGGGAAAACTGTCAAATAGGTCCTCGAACTTTCATAAAAAAGTCAATTAAGTCCTTCTATAGGAGACTCTGTCCGGTCGTCCCGATTTGGGGCGGTTCCCGGTGGAATTTTTTGATGAATTTTTTTGAGCATCTTATTCATCAAGTCTAGTTTACTCATACCAAATTTCAGCTAAAAATTTAATCGGGAGCGCATTCTAATTAATTCGAGAAAGCAAAAATGCGCAGTTATCTTCATGAATTAATTTGAATGTGTTTCCGATTGAATTTTTAGCTGAAATTTGGTATGAGTAAACTAGACTTGGTGAATAAGATGCTCAAAAAATTTCATCAAATAATTCCACCGGGAACTGCCCCAAATCGCGACGGCCGGACAGAACCTTCTATAGAAGGACTTAATTGACCTTTTTATGAAAGTTGGAGGACCTATTTGACAGTTTTCCCTATTAAAATACAAAGAAACCAGACTAGACCAGACCAGTCCAGACCAGACTAGTCCAGTCCAAGTAAAAACATCCTAAGGCTTGGATGTTGTTGTTGTTTGAATATTATCATCACTAAAGTTATTAAGTCACATTTTTATATTAATATATACTATCTTTATTTTGGTCAAATATTAGATATTATTTGTTTTTATTAAAATTATAATATATCATTCAACTATCTTTTCCAATTCTAGTTTTTGTGTAATTGGTAAATATATACCCGTTGGATTTAGGAATTGACAAATCTTTTTTGGTGAAAATTAGACAAGTATGTTGTTCTTGTACAACATTATTTAATATTAAATTTAAATATTTAAAAATAGTTCTAAAAAATAAATAAAGGATAAAAAATCATAACGCCTATGCCCGCCTATGCCCGCCTAGGCTACAAAGGCTTCTTCAGGCTTGGCCGCGGCGCCTTGCGCCTTTTAGAACATTGGTTACAAGACACTATATTTATTATTATATAATATATGTAATATATATCACATATTATATATATACCATCCTTTATTCCAATGGAGCCAAAGACAAACTATTTTTGGCTTGGGAAAATGATGGAATAGAGCAGAATGGCTCACTAAATTGAATGCACTTCTTTGTTATGAAGCAGAAGTCAGATTTTTTACGCGATATTTGACTCGATTTTCATCATGGAGACAAACTATTTTTGGCTTGGTAATGTTGTTGTATTATATATACACACACACACACACATTGTGGGAGATGGGGGGGTTTCTCACCCCCATGTCCACTTCTGCCTCACACCAATACTGCTGCCTCATTACTCTCTGCAGATCCCCTATTACCTTCTCTAATTACATGTATTTAAAAAATTACTTACAAGCATATGTATCACTCTCATGACGAATAGTGAAGGAGTACTCTTCATGTGGTTTTTTCATATTAATGTTAGAAAATATGAACTTCACCCCTGCAAAAAAAGAAGAGGGAGCGGGAATGAAAATGTTCAGGATAGTTATATAGAATCATATGGAATAAGATAAAATGAATTGCATACCACTACCACATTCAGTTCGAAACCCAAGATTCTTGTCATACCACAAAATTGCCTCTTCTACTCCATCTCTATGCTCAGATTTCTTGTGATGCTTCTCCTCACATGCTTTCAAATCTTTTATTTTGTCCAAACACAAACAAGAAAAGGAAGTTACCCGAATATAATTAACACTCTAGGGGCACTCATCAATTTGAGGGACCACGTACATTAGGTTGCACAAAAGAAAATTAAACACAGAATTAAATTTATTTTATGAAAGCACCTTCTTTATAGAACTGTAGAAGAATAAGCTATCAAGCGGATATTAAAAAAATGATGTAAGACGATTTAATTTAATCAGTCATATCCTTTAGCATTGCCATATAGTGAAAAAAAGTAGGTTACCATTGGATTCTTCAACTATTATTCTGGCATATTCATCTCGTCTTGCCCTCTGAGCTTTAACAACTCTTTTAAGTTGATCCGTTCTTGCTTTCACAACTGACAACGATTCCACTAAAGCTATCCGCTTTGCTTCCTTTTTAGTTTTTCCTACAAATGATCAAGAAACCAAGAATGACGGTTCCCAATAAGACATATATTCAAATGAGTAATTCATGTCCTTATCATATTTAATTAAGGTTTATATGTGAGCATGGGATTGAACTACAAGTTAAACGTTCTATTCTATATTATGAAAGTGAATGAAGACTAACAGTGTAATACCATCCTAAATGAACATTAACTCAGATCTTAGGTACAAGAAGTAAATTAGAACCTTAAACATTGTACAGGAACTTTATAAAATGTAGTTCCACACTTCAAGAGAAACCTCAGAGGTCAGAAAATTGAATGTACCAAAAATGGTTTCCATCTGAAATTGAAAAAGTAAACGCATACAATACTAAAATTTACTCCTAATACTGATAACATCCTCGGGGGTCTGTTATGACGGAGGGTTTTGGGGGTGATTTGGTAGGGGGGCTTTGGAGGACTTAATGTATATCTTGATGTACATGGGAGATCTTATAACAGGTAAAAGATTTTCATAATATGTGATTCTATAACATTCTTTTACGTATAACATTTTAAACAAGAGATTTAATTACGACAATAATATGTCATCCATTGCAAGACAGATTAACATCAGCTTAGAGCAGCATAAAATATTTAGTTCTTTTGGCACTGGGGCATGTTTTAGGCCAATTTGATTCCCACGGTTCTCCACCAGGGGTAAGAAATCCAGACACCTAACAATCATGAACTAGATGGCCGCCTCTCTGGATCAAAGTCAACGCAGCGCATTCCAACTATCCAAGCGTAACTAGTATCCATCTATCACTCCATTGTATTCGTTACAGAGTGGGTCTTCATTGGGGGGTATGTCGCACATCACGATATCAACGGAACTTTATCATTTTCAAGGTCCATACATTTGTAGACTGAATATGACATTTGCGCAAATATTCATCTTCTGCTATTATCTATGTAATCAGTTCTATGAGTATCACATGAAACGAATACACATCACAGTATATATCCTACATGGCTACACCCTACAAATAGCACCAACCAAACAGGAGTAAAGGTGTACTCAGCCTCCCTCATTTGACCAACAATCACTCCACTTATCAACCCAAAATCAATACTAAGTGGATTATAATCCTGGTCAAGCAATATGTGAGCGGTATTGGCATTTATGAACATCAAAAGGTGGGCAAGCTCACCTACAGTAATCCTATGAGACCAACCAAAAGTATCTTTAGTCATTACATTATGTCAGGATTCATGGGATTTTTATCGTAATGACTGCCTCTTCTTCACAGCTACCCAATTGATTTAACCATGGCTGGATGAGTTTCCACATTTTGATGAGTCAAAACCTTTAATTCTTCCATCAAGAAGACATCTATCTAATCATGATACAAAAGTCAAAGAATAACTAGCACCCTGACTCCTTTGTGATATATTCTGCCACAATTCGAGTCTCCTTTGAAGTCTACAGAAGCTTTCCATTGGCGCAACTTGTCAAACTGAGTTATTCCAATGAGGTTGTAAATTTTGAAATGTTTACTGAAAGCTTGCAAGTCCTGTATAGAGTTTTTACTTAGCATTGGAAAATCTGTGATAGAGTGTTGCACTATGGCATTGATGCTTCTGCTAAACAACGCGTCCAAGGGTTGTCAATTTTGGATGACAACTGAGTGCCTTTTGGCATCCGACTGAGAAATTATGATTGTAGCCATGGCTGGAAATTGCTAGAAACTTCTAGTCTTGTAATTTTTCTGTATCAGAAAATGGAAACCATAGAAAGTAGGAATTGAGGTTACCCAACCTGCCACAACCGCGGCATGATTAAACGAAATTGTACTCTTCAATCTTTCTCGATCCCAAGGAAGGGAATGGAAAAGGTAGAGGGTGAGTTCATAAGCCATACTAGTGAAAATACAGTATCATAAACCCCTGACAATTACAACAACATCGTATAACATTTCAATAGCCTGTTATTCATTTTCAAACATTCTATTTATCACGATATCGACTAAACCCTCCCATTCTTCTCCTACAAATCTCATCATCAAAATAGCCCATTATAAAGCATTTGCATATCTCTCAAGGTGAAGAATAAAAAATTTAGAGCTCGCTGGAAAACCTCAACGGATATATGTATGCGTGTCCAGAAGAGAAGGGTCTATATAAATGCAGAGAGATACCTTCAAGCGCGTCCAGCAAATCCTCTTCCGCTTCTCGAAGTTCGGCTTTCACTGTCTTAAGTTTCTCTGTCCGACCCACAAACAAAAAATAAACTCAAAATCATAGAAGAAACAGAAGAAAACGGGTTTTTTGAACTTCTTAAGCACAATTACTCAGTTCCTGAGATGGTCTCACAGAGATCCAGGACCCAATTTCCCCATTTGTCTGATTCCATTTTACCAAAAAAAATGAAGAAATAAACCCCTAGTTTTAAATTACGACTCAGAAGTAGAGGGAAACACCTTGAAGTTGAACAGTTTCTTTAGCCCTGGAATTGATGAAATCGAGGGACTTCAAGAAGGACACGGAGACAGAATCGACCTGTTTCTGCATGATTGGTATTTCACCGACGCATTTCAGCCTCGACTCCTCCATCTGAGCATGCACAGTTGCCCCTGCTCTGCTCTCCATTCCTTCTAAAGAGGTTTATCTCGTGCTTGAATCCTTATTATGGGGAACACTTCACACTTCAATCTATCCACCCAGAGAGCAAAGCAGTCTTCAGTTCGATTTGAAAACAGTGTAAAGCCCGGGGCATGCAGGTTAAAATGAAAAAATGGAGCCACGATTTCAAATTATAGGTGTACTTTAAAAAGAAAAACCGAAAACCTAACCGAAAATAATCAAATCATTTTGAAAAAAACGAATCAAACCAGATCAAATCAAATCGCAACCCAATAATTGGGACCCAAAAAACGATCTGGCTTCGGTTTTTATACCCATGATATCGGTTTGGACCGAACCGAACCGACATCTTTTAATTATTAATAATAATTGATATTATTAATAATAGTAATAATTAATGAATTTTAATAATGATATAATATTATTATTATGATAAAAAAAATGATATAAAATTACACCGAGTATTAATTGAGCATACTTGACGAGTTGCGGAGTTGGTCGGTTAGCTTTATTTGCGATGCTGACGTTAAGGGATCGATTCCCGACTAAAAACATCTATATAAACTAAATCCCCGTTCCCAAATGTTAGGTCATGTTTCTAAACAATACAACAGATAAGGATGCACATATAATGATTCAACACATAAAGAAATTTCATTGAAATGATCAAAAGATAATCGCACAGAAGGAATTTTCAATTCTAGCGTGAATATGGAAATATCTGCTCAGGTGCTCTGCGAGTATTCTAAAAGTTCTTGTTGTAACATTCCCTATTTGCATATTTATATGCGTAGGGTACAACATACTAAATAAGGCTATTGATGGGACTTAGGTCTTATGCAAATGTGGCCCTTGTCCCTTTTAGGTCTAATCTATTAATTACAAATTATTCCATAAAAGGTAATCTTCACCAATCTCCCCCTTCGTGATCAAGTGTTGTCTTCTCTTCTTTATTTCCGTCTCTTGAAGTAATTTTTCCTCAGTGCTAGAACATGCTCATATTGGCGCAGTGATTTTTGTTTGTTGAGTTGTTCGTTGATAACGTCTAGCATCTTGGATATTCTTCCATGTTCTTTTCGTTCTTCTCTTGTAGAGTCAGCAAGTCTACTCTCGATCTCATCCTTCTTTGGAAGCAATTTATCTCAAATGATCTTCAGCGTCCCATCACAAAATTTGGCAATCTTCATCCGACAGCATTAATCACTTCTTTTCTTCATGATTGAGATACACTATCCCGACAGGCTCATCAAAATATAGAGGCGGGTACTTTTTTACCTTAATCTGGATAGATTTGGCCTTAAGAGGTTTGCCTATGGAACGTTGTGTTAAAGGACCATATGAAGATCATGAGTGGCATGAAATCGGACTTGTCTTAGCATAAATCTTTTGATTGCGTCGTATCGTCCTTTGAGGACTTTTCTCTTTTGAGTTGGAAACTTTATGTAAGCCATTAGGATTTGATAGACATCATCCATTTTCAACATAAAGAAGTTCTATTGTCATGTGAATTCTGTCCCATCGGTACGTTGAAGTTTGTAAATTGAGAACTTGATGCCATCGAGTTCTCCTCTAGAGGCTTCCAGAATCTCCCAAATGGGGGATTCACATGTCTTCAGGTTCTGCTTAAGAACTTCTCACTGTTTCCCAGTGATCTTTTGCTTAGTATGTACAAATGTCTGCCTATCTGGCTTCCTTTCAGGTGAGTGAGACTTTTTACCTTCAGTTTATCGATTCTCTTGATCTTCTCAGGTCTTCTCCAGATGTGCTTTCTGATTTCCTCTGGGAAGGGCGGGTGATAGCGATGTTCTCCCAAGTTTTCTCATTTGTGGGCGGAAGAGTTCATGTTCTTCTGATCACATTGGGTAGCTCTGCTGGAACTTGATTATAATTCTCCCCTTTCTTGAGTTCTTCATTGTTGAATCTGATCAAGTCAGCATCACATTTATTCAGCAACTCTCTGAAAAAGAATAGTCTTGAGCTATCAGTCTGTTCAGCTTCTTGTCTAATCTCGTCCCACTCATTCCACTTGGGATCTAGCACATAAGCTTCGAGTTGATCGTGAACAAACAAAGATGGAGTATGTGAGATGAGCAACTGTTTTGACCTATCAAAGGTAGATCCGGGATCACAAACAATGCCCGTTATCATCACGTCATAAACTTGTTCTAACGGATGGGATGATAGAATGGGTGTACTAGAAGTAGAAACCTTAGGACTTCCGCTCAATCCTCAGACAACATCGGTAGAAGATGAGCCTAAAAGCGTTCTATCGGGTGTGACCACGCCAAAGGTTGAAAGGATGGCTTTGGTTTTAGGCTGTTGGTAGGATTGGGATTGTTTGGAAGAAAAAGTTTGTTGGTTTGGCTGAGAAGAGGCACTATGCTCGAGTGTAAGTTGCCTTTTGTTCTCCCCCTCATGAGTAGCCGAGTCATCGGGGTCCGCGTGCGAACGTGTTTTGCCACAGAGATTGTCACGGCATGTGAACTCGGTCTCAAGGAGATGGAGAAGTTTGTGTTGGTTATGTGCAAGGTCGGTTTCAGCTAGAAGGCGAAGGTAAAGGATGTTGGTTAGGGAGGGAATATGTTCGTAGTTCGGGTCAATGCAACTTGTCAGGGGAGGATACCAATTCTGTATCCTGGGTTCCCCGAGAAGTGGTAGGTGTATGTTGTTTGTGGGTAGATGGTTCAGAAGTGGGTAAGGGTATGGTAGGGTTTGTTGTGGCTGCGATGGGAGTGGAACGTTCTGAATCGTTTGGGTTGGTCTTGAGTCTTGTGCATTTGCGGCTATGAATTGTTGCAAAGCTAACCTCTCCTCCACGGCTTTGTCCCCTACGTCGACACCCTCAATCTCCTCATTGCTAGCGAGAGCTTAACGTACATGTCCTTCATAGATTATATATGGAGAAGAAAACGCAGCAAGCATAGTATGATAAGAAAACGCCAATCAGAGAAGCCTCGTACAAAACCCTAGAATCGCCGGGGAAGAAAACTTTCACCGCTTCTCTTAAAAGATTAATATGATAGGAAAAGGAGCACAAATTCAACTAAAAAACAGTCCTAAGGACTAAAAAAGTAATTAATGCTATTCAAGTAACTATCTAAAGTTTTGGTCATATTTAAGACCATTCCATTCATGGTTTTCTTGCTAACTTGGCACACTCGGCTACGAGGGGACTAACTATCCTACAATCACCTCCTATAGGCCTCGAAAAGATCCTTTGGGAAGACGCAAATAGCTTAGAATTCCTGAGATTGTAATTTATTTTGCTTCGTTTGTTTGCTCTTTTGTTTTCTATTTAGATGTACCAAAAATAAGACCATTCCTAGTTTAAAAGGTGTATAATATTCATGATGATGGTGAGGGTAATATTTGGTTAAAGGTGTATTTGACTTCTTGACATCTGGTCTGATTTTAAAGCAGACCACTTCCTAACATCTGGTCTGATTTTTTAACTCGGGGATGAGTATCCTTTTTCCTTTTTGTGAAAGCACACTCAAACCCAATATTCAAACTCTCTGAATTCTTTCCTCCATAAATTTATATTCGGCAAATCCCTCGCAGGAAACCTAGATTCAGTATATTGTAACATTTACCGCGGTCGTGCGGGTAGATTGGTAAATTCTTTTCTTGAGAAGAAGAAGAAGATATGTCAGTCAAAATTGGGTCTTCATGGTCCTGTGTTTGCACTACTCTTTCTTCGCCGTTTCAATTCAATAGAACCCCCAGGGTGAGTTTTTCTCTTTCGTCTTAACTGCGTTCTTGAGAAATAATTCAATATCTCTTTGTTTCAACGGAGGTTTTATATTGCTCTATTATTAGTTTGTTGTCTTCATTGTATTTCAACCATTAGTAGTGTGTGGGCTGTGTGTCCTGTTTGTCTTCATTTACTGATATGGAGCAGAATCTGTTCTTGGAAGAACAGGGGCAGATGACTCCGTGGGTTTACTGAAGGCTGGGACGGGCTTGAGCCCACCTTCTTGGGCGGGTTGCGGGATGCTTAATTAATATTTATTCTTTTTAATTATCCTGATTTGTCTCCTATTAGGAGTTAATTAGGATCTCTATTATTTGTTTCCTATTTAAAGTTGATTAGGATCTCTATTATTCTGTTTCCTAGTTGGAGTTGATTAGGATCTTTATTATTTTGTTTCTTAGTTGGAGTTGATTAGGATTTCTAGGATTTTATTTCCTAGTTTAAGAATTAGTAGATGGGTATTTAAACCCCTTGTTAGGATTCATTCATGCTCATCTTGGAATAAAAGTTGGTTTAGCCCTTTGGCTCTGGGCAACTGTATTTATTTATCGTTGATTATCTGGGCAACGGTTCACCCCATTGATTTTATTTTTCTGTTCTTAACAATTGGTCCGACCCGCCGGATCCCGTCCCGCCAGAATGACGAGATCTATCAGTGAACGTTTGTCAGAGATGGTGGCCAAGCAAACTCAAACCCTAAAGGAGAACAACATGCGTTTGGCAGAGATTGCCGCATCCCTGGCAGCGCTTACCAAGGCACTTGTTCCACCAGTTTTGACGGAAACAAGCTCGGACACGGTTGTCAGCTCCAACGTATCTACACACAACGGCGACGAACAGCCGCACAACGTCACTTCCTCATGGGCTGCACTCAAAAAGACTCTCGCACCGCCAGCGACAGAGCATTCAACGGTGGTGACTTCACTCGACGCGGGCAGCAACATCCTCGTTCGGAATCGGTCTATGCAGCTCCTATCTTACGACGTTGCCCTCGTTTAACGAAGTAGAACCGATCAGCCGGGTTGATAAGGCCGAGAAACGGTTCGAATTGAATTGTGCTCTGCTGGGAAAGAAGACGGCAACCACTGTAGTTGCGATGGAAGGGTCAGCCCTATACCGGTTGACCAGGACACGGACACGAAAGCCGGACATGTCATGGGATGAGCTTACACAAGCATTGATGGCTTGTTTTGACTCACAGTTTCAGGGCAATTGCTTTGAACGGCTGCCCGGAGCCAAGTGGACAGGGATTGTGGAGGAGCACATCTCAATTTTTTCTGAAGATACTGGGCAGCCCCCGGGAACAAATGTCAGTCGGTTTCCGGATTTCAACCTTGAGGACAAGGTTTTTTCGAAGGGGATGGAATTGATATGAAGCAGAATCTGGGCTTGGAAGAACTGGGGCAGAAGCCTCCGTGGGA